ACTGGGGATCTAACTCGGGTTACTGTGCTTGCAAGTCAGGCTCCAGAACCACCGAGCTGAATCCCTGGCCCTCACAGTGCATTTTTAATCCAATCTCCTATCTACTGTTTTTCCTTTTTAAAAAAATTTTTCTCATTGAGTTTATTGGTACTTTTTAGGTATACAGTACAGTTATATTCATCATTGGGATCTTGTACCTCTACATGACAGGTCTTGGTTCTCATTTTTTCTCCATACCCCTGCCCTCCCTTCACCGCTCCTCCCTTCCCTATTTACAAATACTTTTTTTGCATTTTTTCCTTTTTTCATATTTTTTTCTTTTCCCTTATTTCCTTTTTCCTATAAAATGAAATACTACTCAGCCATAAAGAATGAGAAATTTGAGTCATTCATAGGAAAATGAATACATATTGAGGCCATGTTCTTAAGTGAAATAAATAAGTCACATGGGTGTAAATACCGAATAGTTTCTCTGGTGTGAAAAACTAAAAGTGTAAATAAGATCCAAATGGTATAACTGACAATGTGAAATACTATCAAATACTATCTATTTTTCTTTTTTTTTTTTGGTACCGGGGATTGAACTTGGGTCCTTGCGAATGCAAGGCAGGCCACCGAACCTCTGAGCTAAGTCCCCAGCCCACTGTCTATTTTTCTATTTGACTAAATATTGTCCTTTGAAGCATTTACTTCACCTCTACTAAAGATTCAGTCTAGAGTCATTTACTGCATTAGATAATCATGTGATTTTAGTGTAATTTAACCTGGAACATATCTACAGCCATTCTTTGTCTTGACACTAGCATTTTTGAAGAATTAAGTCAGCAACCCCCTCCTTTCTTTTAATAGAACATTCCTTGCTGAAATTTGTCTGATGTTTCCTCATAATTAGATTCAGGAATAGATTTCAGGCCAGAACACCATGTAAGTAATGTTACTCCTTTCTTTAGGAATCACTTTGGAGGCACATGTTGTTTATCCATCCTTTATTGGTGAGGTTAAATCTGATAATCTAGACAAGGGGCTGCTCAGTTTTTCCACTGTGAGGAGACTTTTTCCCCCTGAAAAATAAGCAATCTGGGAGGAGATATTTTAAGATCAAATAAATATTGGGCTTCTCATCAAAATTTGCCCTAGTTTAGCATCCATTGATTATTTTTGCCTGAGCCAATATATTTGCTGAGATGGTTGAAAAATGATGGTTTTCTGACTACTCTCAGGCTTCCACTTGTACCAGTTGGTGTATGGCATTCTACTGTAAAGAACACACATCCTCGTCTGTCATCTATCATTTTTCTGTCTATTAATCCATATAGATTAGTGGGTCCCAGTTTTTTTCCTTGTGCTTTCTAATTTTCTCAATTATTTTGTACTCAAATTGTCCCAAGTTTGGCCAATAAGAAGTCCTCCATGTTCAGGTCACCTGCCTTTGAACATTTATTTATATTCTGATATAATGAGATGTTTCAGGCCTGTCCTGTACCTACTCTGCCTCTGCTTTTGAGTCAGTCAGCCATTCCTCCAAGGAACCTTGGTTCCTTTTAGTGGGGAATGATTTTAGACACCAAGATCTGAGTGCTAGATGTGTTCTCTCTGGCTAGGCAATCTTTGCTTCTAAGCTTTTTGGTGGTCAGAGCTAGGAAATATACACACGTGTGTACACATGTACACACTCACAAATATATGTATGCATCATGCAGGTGCATGTACAATTACACCTACTTACACATAGCTTATAAATCATGATTTTTACATTGATTCCATTCTGTTCCTGCATGGTTCTTATCTCCTTCCATTCATGTTTATATTGCTTTCTTCTACACTGAAATTCTGGTTTCATCAATATCAGGGGATTTTATAATTTAATTAGTCATGTTGTACAGTTCTACTTTTACATGGTACTTTTATGTGGGTGCATGAGCATAGTGGTTCCCCATTCTTATCTGTCAAAAATTATCAGCCTCAGTAATTTTATGACTCAAAAGATATGAAGATGCTCACAAAAAATTTTAAGAATGTACCAGCTTTATTCAAATTGGTAACAGCAGAATTGTTGAAACAGAAAGACTGATGAACTGACGTATTCATACAATGAAATAGTACTTGGCAATAAAAAGGAACAAACTGCAACTTCATACAACAGTATGAAGGAAGCTGAAAAAGATTATGCTGAGTTTAAAAGGGTACACAGAAAGGAATGTATAATGCATGATTCCATTAACATGAACAGGCAAATGTAACCTGCAGTGCTAGGATCAAATCACTACTGTACTTGCTTTTAGTGGGATGGGACAGGGCAGGACACTGGCTAGGAAGAGACATGCAGGAGCTTTCTGGGATAGAGGAAATATTTTTGGTCTCAATCCTCAGTTATTTGGGTGCATACATTTGCCATGATGCATTCAAGTCTGCTCTTAATATTTTTGCATTTCACTGTCTGTGAATTACTCCTCAGTTTAAAAAATGATTGGCTAGAGTAGAAGCTTTCTTTTTCAACTGAAATGGAAATCCTCAACTTAAAATGTCTCCTTCTGGGTTGCTTCATTTCTGAGTCTCCTATCTACTAATTCTCCTGGCTCCAAAGATATTTGAGTTTGCCACCTCTGATTAATACTTTTATTTTCTTTTATTGTCCTATTACTTCTTTTTTATTATTATTTTGAATAATCAGAGTACAGCATAGGTCCGAATTTCATGAAGAATTTATAACATTATAAAAAACTTGGGCTGGCTAATGTATTTGCTTTAAAACAGTGAAGACACTTATGCAAATTGAAAATGTTTAAATAGCAGTGAATTTTAGACTAATTCTCAGTTAAAGCCTTTGGTAATCTGATGTATGAAGACAAAAGCAAAAACAAACAAACAAATTTTTACCTAGTCAGGTCTTGACGATGGAAGCAACTGATTTTCAGTGTTCAATGATCTAATGTTACCTCAGTGAAGAAATTATTTTCTCAAACCTTCTCATAGATTCTGGTGCAGATCACGCCCTTCAGCATATATTCCTTAAAAGAGGGAGAGCGATTAACTGAGTAACTAAAATAAATCAGACAATAACAAACGTAATGAAAACGAAATTCAAAACTCATAAAATTAAACTTAGGAATAAAATATCAGAATGCCAATCTCCAATTAATTCAGAAGTATGTCCACCAAAATTGAAGAAAGGACTTTAAAACTGATCTGTGTTTTTGTATAGGAATTTTTAAAAATGTGTCAAACTTCTCAAAAGACGAAGTAAAAATGACTAGTATGCACAGGAAAAAGTGTTCAACATCTTTGGCCTATTACAACACTGATGTTTCACTACCTCAGTAAGAATAGCTTTCATCAAGGACTCAAAAACAACATGTGTTGGTGAGGTTATGGGGAAGAATAGAATCCTTCTACATTGTTGGCGGGAATGTGAACTAGTACAATCACTATAGAAAGCAGTATGGAGATACGTCAAAAAACTAAAAACAAATTTCATTTAACCCAATTCTACCTCTTCTACATATCTTCCCTAAAGAGTTAAAGTCATCATATTACAGTGATACATGCATACCCATGTTTATAGCAGCACAATTCACAATAGCTAAAGTATGGAATAAGCCTATATACCCATCAACAGACTAAGGAACAAATAAAATTGACATACAAATGGAATACTACTCAGCCATAAAGAAGGATAAATTTTGAGGAATTTATAAAAAATATATGGATCCTGAGACCATAATGCTAAGTAAAATAAATTAGAATCAAAAGATTAAATATCAAATTGCACATAGAGGATGAAAAATACAAATAATTTAAAGAGCAAAATAAAAGAGACGGTAGAACGCAAGAAGATAGACTTTGTGGAGGTAGGAAGGTAATCTTAGGAAGGGGGAGGGAGAAAAAGCAGGGTGAAAGGGAAGGAGGACTGAAAATGACAAGATGGGCTTCATATGTCAACCTGTTCCCCAAGATGACTATAAAAAAGTGTCAAGTTTTAGCCATGATTTGTATGCATTTAAATGTACAGAGTGTTTTTCAAAACCTTGCACATTGGCATTACTTGGAAAATATTTCAATGCACTGATGCTCTCCCCGATCAAGTGATCCATGCTGGGGCCCCCATGTGGGAATTTAGCTCCCATGTAAATCTAGTGCAGAAAGGACCAAAATCACTGCACTAAAGAGAAAGACATTCAAAACATTTCATAAGTCTATTTACATGCAATGTGTATATTAATTCATAAGCACAGAGCCTTCACCTTAAAAAATCATTAGAAATCATCTCATGTAATCTCTGTCTGTCTTCATTCTTCTCTACTGACTAAGACAGATTTCCCAGGAGCTCAGCTTGCATTACTGACATGGTTTACTCTACCTTCCTATAGATTCTTGAAAGCAATATGCTTAGGTGTCTGCAAATATTCTATAATCACAGTTAAAATTTAGACTTGCTTTTGTCATTGTGAATTCAAGCTAGTGAGATTTAGCTAGGCTTTCTTTAACTCTCCTTTTACCTTTTTGGAATTGTTATTTCTAAAATAACAATGGGTTTACTCTTTTAGTGTTTTGCTTGTCCTTGACATACTTGAAGATGAATCTTTTGTAGTTTAAATAACAATTGAGCATTAACTCTGACTTTATTCTCAGCCACTTTTGTTCATTTGTATTTCAAAGAGCGTTTTGCAAATAATAAAATCAGTCTATTTGTGTTGCATTATTTCCGAAGTTAGACTTGGAAACACTCTTACCACTAACCATTTTTCCATCCACCAACTTCCTCTTTATCGTTGTTTTCTTGCCGTCCTATTTCTGCACTTGATTCAGTGAGCCTCTCTCCAGGGTTACTACACTCTGGAAGGACAAATTCATATGCTTGACCTGCATTAACTTTGGTTGGTCAAAGAAGCATTTTATTCAGAACTGAGCCATTCTTGTAACAGACATCTCATGTAGCACATTTATTTTCCACCCTTTTCACTACTAACAATACTCTCTCAAGTAACTGTCTGGGCCAACTTTAAAGATAAACATTAAAGCTTACCTTGGTTTTCCTATTGTCAGCTGTGGTTTCTTCAAATTTCCGGCCCAGTTTGAAAGAGATCTCTGTACTTTTAAAGGTACTTTCAGTTTGTAAAGTTATACAGTCCCCTTTCTTGCTGATGATCACTGTAGGCTTGGCCAAATTTCCCAGTTTTCTGGTGGCCAACCCCACACCTATAATACAAGAGAGTGTTAGAATTGTGCCTACCAAGACAGTATACCTATGGTGGCCATGTGAGGGGTTCAGTGGTAGCATAGTGGGCAGGTGTCCAGTCCTACCACTGACTCCACCCCCACTTCACTACACAAGGAAAATGCATGTCTTGGACTCGAACATTTTAGGTTTTGTTATTGCAGTAGTAATGTCTGAAGATTTTAGAAGGTAGAAGTGTTCAGCTGCAAGAGTGGAAGGTGTCTATTTTTACCATATCTAATCCTACTCTCCTTTGAAATCAGTTACTACAGATTTGTATAAAATATTAAAGATACTTTATGAATATTATAGATAAATTTTAATGAGACTATGACACATTCTGTTGCCTGATATTTTCCCCTTCAAAAATATATTGTGAAGAGAAAGGATTTCCCATGTTAGAGTGTCATTGCTCAAATTTTGTGATCAAGTCTAGCTGGTAGGAAAACATAATCCATCTGTCTTTTATATTTTATCATTGGTACAAATAATGATAGAAAAATAAAAATATTTTTTCCAAAACTTACATGTGAACAACCAAACTAAATCAGGTTTATGTTTTATTGCTATTTTACCAAAAGCATAGAAATATCTGGAAAAAGTAAAATGTCATACAAGAAATATATAGGAAATATATGGGAAATATTATAGAGAAAGTGGGAAGGGTAGGGGAAAGGTAATAAGGGAAAGAAAAAAAATAGGAGAAAATGAAAAAATGGAAATAAAATGTTTGTAAATGGGGAAGGGAGGAGGGGGTGAAGGGAGGGCAGGGACAAGGGGAAAAATGAGAACCAAGACTGTCATGTAAAAGTACAAGATCCCAATGATGAATGTAACTGCACTATATACCTAAAATGTACCAATAAACTCAATGAGGAAAAAAAAAAGAAACATACAAAAGAAAAACCAGTTTCTGAGAGTCCAATTGTAAGTCCCAACTCTCATTTTTCCAGAGTGAAAAAAAGTCTGATATATCTGTATCTATGCTCACAAAGAAGTGAAGACTCACAGGTGATAAAGTGAACTATTTAGTTTTTCCTAATTCTGATCAATCATTTGTTATTTTCTATGCTTTGGGACAGAGTTTTTCAAATTAAACAATAATCTCTGGTTTAAAGCCTGAGAATCTACATTCACCAATCCCCCCAGGAGCTCTGTGCACTCTGTAACTTAGTCCCTCAGCAAGACTTTCTTGTGTTTTGCCTTTGCCTCAGCTACAGAGTGAAGGCCATAAATCTGTCCTGCTACTATAGGTCCATTGTGATGAACCCTCATGGGTTTCCAGGCAGCACTGATGTGACTTTTTTTCACTTCATCTAGTAGGAGAAACGTTATTACAAGCTTTCTGAACAGGTCAGTAAAGCCAAAGGCTCTCCGATGAGCATGGCACCCTCCAGCCATTGGCACCCCTATTATTTTTCCCTGGAAATCTCCAAAGACTCTTCACTTCTACTGTGTTCATATCTATGGAGCATTCTCTTTAGAAATAGTAAAAAATAAAGTCTTAACTAATGACTGAGTCTTCCAGGTATCTCCATTCACTGCTCCAACAGCAGGAAAGCCTGACATTAGTGAAACCAAGTTTGAATTCATCCCCTCAAACTCAGTTCTTTTCTTCTCTCAGCAGCTTCCCTAGATTATGAACATCCTAGAGTAGGAGACACTGTCATTTCCAAACTCTGTATATCTACATGATTGTGTACTAATGAACAACCTAGGAGAAAAAGAAAATTTTCCATTTGGCTAATATCAAAATTTTAAATTGACATTTCCCAATATTTATCTCTTTATTTTATGAGCACCTTAGTTGTTATAAAAATCAACTTTCAGGAGAGACAGACAATGGGTTGAGTAAGCTTCTTAGATTTCTTTCTTTCAGGTTTCCAGTGAAAACCCTATTGGTATGAAACTGCCTTTGGAGTCAGTCGAAGTTTCATGCCTTTAAATCGCTTTGTTTAAATTCCATTACAGTTGCCACCTATAAAATGAGAATCAATTATTTGAAAGACAAGAGAGATTAATCAGAGAAGAGGATTGGATTTCAACCTGCACAAACTTCCCTAGACTGTGATAAATGATAACAGAAGGAATTCTTTAAAAAGGTTTTCAGAGCCAGCATGACAAGTAGTATTTCTTACCCAGATCTTTCATGTAATCAACAAAGCTCTCACTGGAGATGAGTTTCCAGGTGCCCGAGAATTTGTTGCTCATTGTGGTAGAAGAGAGTTGAACACAGATCTAGGTGGGATTTAAGAGATTCAGAGAGATGCTGAGGCCTCAGAAGATTCTTTTCAAGGTCCACAAAGCATGTGACTCCTCCAGAGATCCAGTGGGGAAGACAGAGTCAGGATGGGGCAGTGAACATCTCGTTAGTCATCAGCTGCCCATCCATCAGGATTAAAGGAAACCCCACATAATGTTTCCTTTTGTTTCCAAAAATGTCATAAAAATAAATAAGAGTACTACTTGAACCTTTGAAAAATTTTTGGTTGATCTTAAATTTATGAGTACTTAGATCCTTAATGTTTTGGAAAAACCTATGGATTCTATGATTGTGAATGAGTGTGTGTGTGTGTGTGTGTGTGTGTGTGTGTGTGGTGCATTTAGGCATGGTTGCTATTCTGGATTCTGAGTCTGCACAGCTAAGAATTCTTATTTAAGGGGGAACAAAAGAGGGAAATGTCTACAAGTATTGTAATAAGAGTCTCAACTATGTTGTGGGAGAGAATTGTAGGGCAGCAGGGTGAGGATGTATTCAGAGGTAAGGGAGGCTTGGCATAGCTCACATATACTAGGCAAGCAGAGTGGGCAGACAATGAGGTGAGTCTATCACAGCAGAGTACGGGAATTCTATTCATGTAATAGGACAAGAAGCAGCTCTGTAACATGCTCGTTGACCACAGCTAAGATTTTCATCTATAAACACCTTAAGCGCAACTAAGCAGGGTCTTAGTTACTATGACAACTTTAAGTCCTTTAAAATAAATCCACAGTGGTATAAAGGAAGGATTTTCTATTAAAATAATACTAGTGGAATTGAGAGCTCACCATGGGCCAGTCACCGTGGTAAGCGTTTAATATAGATTCTGTCATTTACTCCCTTCAATACTCCAACAGTTAGGTACCATTGTTATAGCCATCTTACCAGCGAGGAAAAAAAACTCAGGGAGGTTAGGTAACTTGCTTCCAAAATTCAAGTAAGGAGATGCAGGATTTAGACCAAACTTCATTCCCTAGAGTCTACAACTTGCACATATGAGATCTCACACTGTGCACAGACACAGATGCCAAAGATCTGGCAATGCGGACACCACCACGATGGCCTAGCAATGCTCACTGTCTCAAAACTCAAAAGTGGTGACAATCGAGAGATCCTGGAGGCTATGTTACTGCAGAATCCCATTCTTCGATGAGGGAGAGCAAATGTAAATCCTCATCAAACATAAGCATTGCTCTGGGGAGAATAAACATGAACACAGAACTATGCCCATATTGCCAAGGATAAAAGCTTATAACACTGAATCGATTTTAGACCAAGAAGAGAATTTTCTGCTTCAGGCTAATTGGCAGTTGTACCTGAACACTGAAACTGACCAGATAAATGACTTTGGGCCAAGATGAGAGTCTGAGCTCAAAGTACATGCCAAAGACACAGGTCAAAGCTATGAAGGAGATCTAGATTGAACCAGGCTCCAAATAGTAAGACCCTCTTATCTTTGTCATTTTTCTCATCACTGGGACACAATACCTGACAACTACCACTTGGAGAAGGGAAGGTTTATTTGACTCATGCTCCAGTTCATAGTCAACTGGTTGCAAAGCAGTATAGCATGGCATAGGAACATGCTGCAAGAATATCTACTCACCTCATGGCAGACAGAAAGTAGAAGGAGATCAAGTGAGGAGCTTGGGAGGGAGGTAAAGCCTTCCAGGCTGTGCCCCTAGTGACCTGCAGCTTCTGAGCTGACCACACCTCCTAATAGCATTCAGAGGCAGTCATGAGTTGCTCCTTAGTGGTCCTGCCAGATGTGGCACATGTCCCTTCTGCCCAGGTTGCATTGCAAAGCAGTCACAAGTCCCAGTACAGACAGAGGAGGGAGGCAGCAGTGCAGTGCCTGATGTGCGAACTCTTCCCAGCAACAACGCTATGCTGTCAAAGAGCGACCCCAGGTTTCATCATTCCTGGCAAAATGACATTCAAATAGCGATACTCAGAGTCCTGACATTATTTCTCAGTGTAAAAAGGCAATGGTAGAGTGAAGTTGGAGTAAGCGCTCACCTAACTTTGTAACTTGGCGTTTGGTCCAGTTTTATCATGTATAAAATATTGACTGATTTGAGGATCAGGAAAGATTATTTTTGTGAATTTGCTTTATATTATGCTTTATATATTATTATGGTGACTTTTTGTTTTTAACAAGCTTCTACTGAAATATGAACTGTGCCTTGCAAAGTAAACTAAACTCCACTTCCCTGATCATTTTCTCCAAAGCCTGTTCCAAATGCCCGAAGACTGCTCCAAATTCAGCTCTGCTGAGATGCTCCTCTGCTCTGACTTTCTGCTCACCATTTTGGTGACTTGTTCACCAATCACACTGTTTATCCTCTTTCCATCCTAATGACCTTATCATCAAAGAGGCTCTGGGCAAGCACAAACGACCTGAAGGATTTCCTGTGCCGGTCTTCTTCAGAAGGTGTTCTTATCCTCACCTCACCCTGAGAAGTGCATAAGTTTTTCTTTGGCAAAGGAGGAAAAATACGCAGTTAAGCAGCCTCTGAAGACTGTAGTGCAGACATCGACGACAGTAGTGTGCTGCAAATCCAGCCCTGATGGGTCAAAAATCCCAATCCCTTTCACTCTAGGCCTCTCTGGGGCAGCCATGAGTGCTATCCTAGCCCAGGGACTAGTGGCTAGGTGGGCCTTGTCTACCCTCCTGCAGAAAGCACAAGGGCCTAGATCCCAAACTTCAGAAACAATAGACCGTATTTTCTCCCTAAATGGTCAAAGAGAAATCATGAGCACATATAATTTGGGGGCAAGTTTACATCTCGATACTTCCTCCTGAGACGTCTATTTTTGGTTACTGTCTTTGGAGTAGTCAGTAATATTTCTTGATGTTCTTAATTTTTATTAATATATGTTTGAGATACATAATAACTAAATGCATCTTTTTGGGCCATGAAGCAAAGTATGTCCTTTAACGTTTATGGAATTTTTGGTGCAAAAAGTATGAAAATTAAATATTACTCAGAATGGTCAAAGACATTATTTTTCTTAATGACTTCCTAGATAAAGTTGAGTAGCAAAAAAGGAAATCTAGTGAATTATCCTTGGATAATAATATTAATGTTGATACTAGTATGATTTATTTTTAGATAATCAATAGTTCTGAAGTATAATGATTTATTACTGTTTATCAGGCTAAAAAATTCAAAATAAAATGTTTTTTCTTTGGGGCTTATAAAAGTTATTGTCACTTATTTTATTTCAAACCCTCTTGGAAAGAGAATAAATAATGGCTTTTGATCAATCATTTTACCTAATGAAAAGATCTAGTATAATCCTCTATTACAATTTGACAAATATAACATATTTCATTTACTTAGATAGATGATGATTTTCAAAGGCAAATTAGAAATATCAAGAGACTGATTATGTGAAAGTTCTTATGACTAATGAATCTGATTATAATTTTTAATTGATAGAAATGTTGACATGATTTATCTGAGAATGAAACTAAAGGACTAGGGTTTCAAGATTCTTTTGCCTCATGAAATGTTGAAAAACATTGTGGACTCCTTTCCTGGCGTATTGCTGCTCCCCTGAACAGCATACCATCAAACATACAGTAGCAATGGAGAAAGAACTTGTTGAATGAATAAGTGAATGGTTTCCTAAGAAGCAATATGCTTGATGCTACCTATAAAACTCTCAATATCAAGGTTTTTCTCTCTCATGTTCTTTGCACTTTGAGCTGTGATATTTATGAGAGCTGTCTTGAAAATTGAGAACTATGCTGTCCTTTTCTTAATTACACCGCAGTAAAACCAAAGATTTATATGACTAAGTGTCCGGTGCTTTATAAAGTAACTTCTTCTCCTTGAGAGTTGTGGCCAGTGCTCTGACCCCTGCTTAACGAGTCATTAAAGCAGCTGTCCCTCCTTCTCCCTGCAGAGACAGATGCAGGAGGTGTTGCCATGTTTCCTTTGCCCAGCACCCCACCAGGGCTGAAGCCTTTTTGACCTCTGATGAATGAATATGGTCACATTTTGCACACAATGGAGTTCTTTAGGAGGGAGTGGGCAAGTCAGCTAGTGGCTGTGCGGCCAGCACAAGCCCATCCATCATTCTAGAACAGCTGAATGCTCGGGTCTAATCAAATAGCCCGAAGTCCTTCCCTTGGCTGGGGAGTCAGTTCATGCCCCAGTCTCTTGCTTTAGTCCTTCTGTTCATTACCCTTCAATTTTACCTCTCAGAGGGTGGCCATACCCACTTTGTCCAGAGCAGCCTGCCTTCTGCCTGTGTGTAGCTATCATTCTTAGTAAGATCCTTTTTCACCCTTGAATACCCACACAATTTGGACTGTAAATGACATTGATCATCTACTCTAGTGCATATGAAATATGACTCTTGGGACTCATATTTGATCAGTTACTCTCCATTTTAAAATTGAAGGTACAACATAATTATTTACTTAACTTTTCTTCATTTCTCCCTCCCCTTGGCCTAGATTGTTTCCACTTGGGCGGCTTTACCTACATTACTGTTTTCCTCTGGGCACTGAAATCACTCAAACTCCACAGTTGCATTTGGGATGAAATACTGAGGGGCTTCGTGTAGTTCTAAAAATTATATTCTCAGTAGACATTGAGACATTTGGGACTGGTGTTTAGTAACACGTCGTGCTGCCAGGGTTAGCACATAAACAGTGGTGATGGGTTCACCAGTCTGAGAATTTTAAATGGATTTGTGAAGAAGGGAAACAATGACTGTTGTAAGTACTCTTCCTTCACAAACCACCATATAGACGATTTTCCACTCTTTCTATCTTCTTTAAGCCAGACAGACTTCTATAAAAACAATCAGCAGTGTTGTTTTTCAGCAGGTTTTGTGCCACCCAAGGTATGCTCTGATGATATATGTTACCCTTTGTGGTCATATGAATTTTCATCAGATTGTCCCAAACCCTCATTATCAAATAACCTCAAAGGTGCATTTAGTTTGACGCTTTTATTGAGCAAATTTGTACTGAGAATTTTTTTAAAAGTCGATTTTTCTGAAGCATATTTTCTAATGCCAGTTTCTTGTTAGTGAATAAGGGCTCACTAATGTCGACCGTCCTTTCACACTTTTTCATAAGTTCTAGTGCTGACGATGTTATTCATGGTGTATTCCTAAAAGCAAAAAGGGATCTATTATAGTCAGTGGTTAACAGTTAAACTTGTCCTGCTTCTCCCTCCGCAGACCAAACTCTAAAATCAGGATATAGAAACACTTGAGTAGCTTGACAGGCGTAAATCAAGGAGAAGCACATAAAAAATTGCAAAAACTCACCACTATCATTTTTCCATCTACAATTTTTCTTTTGATCGTTGTTTCTTTGCCCAGCCATTTCTGGACATGATTCATTGAGCCACCATCTAATGTTATGATACTCTACAAATGCACAAGGAAATGTTAGAATTAGCAACACAGCATATTCTTTTTTTTTTTTTTTTTTTTTTTTTTTCCAACATTTTTTTTTTTTTTTTTTTTTTTTTTTTTGTACCAGGGATCCAACTCAGGCCCTTATGTTCATGAGGCAGGTGCTGGAACCACTGAGCTAAATCCCCAGCCCAACACAGAATTAGACTTCCACCATTTAATTTATAATTCAAAATCTTATTTGAAATTCTCACTTTGGTTTGTATCATAGCTTCGTACCATCAAATTAGAAGTATCAAGAGATTATTCAATTGATGTTTTCTCCTAGGCAACAATTCCTAATCTACTTGTGCTTAATTGTTCCTTTCTATATGAATCTTTGTTCACTGACAAAGCAAGGTCAGGGAAAAAAAGGTAAAAACAATTTGAATTTCATAGCTGTACTGAACCATCAGAATAGTTAGCAAAATAATTGAGTTTTGAGATGTACAGATATTTTTAAAAACCCAAACTGACTTGATAATAAATCAAATTATGTAGAGAAAAATAAGCCTAACCACCTTCCAGTTCTATCCTGATTATTAAACACCAAGAATATTTAGTTCTGACCTTTACTTTCCGGTTGTCTGCAGTAGTTTCATCAAATTCCACTCCAGGCTTGAAGGAGATAACCGTGTTCTTGATGATACTTTGTGTTTGGATGGTTACTGTGTCCCCATCCTCACTAATAATGACATTCACCTTCGCTGATCCTGCTGAGCTCCGAGTTGCAGCATTCACTCCTGGAAGAGAGAGAAAGCAAAACACCTTTTTCAGATGAGCTAACCAGCATTTTGGAGAACAATTTTCAAACAACAGAGGACATTTTAGGTAAAATACAGTAATTTTTTCTCTGCTCTCTGGAAACCCCCACTCATAAAGTATAGCTTATAGTCTTATCTGACATTTTGAAGTGCCACATTTACTTTCTGAGACAATTTTGCCTCGTGTAAAGTGTGCATTTGCATGATGCCTTCTAGGAGGTGAAATGCTTGCACTTTCCCTCATGGAATGTTACAGCAACAGTACAAGCAGGGTTTGACTTAAAACTGTGCTCTGTTGTTCAGGTTGAGCATTTCCCATCGTCAGACTTGACCCCTAAAATAGGTGGGCAGAGGTGCTGACTCTTTCTCTCCTGAATCTAAAAATTAACTGACCAGAAATTTTGGTTACTGCTACTGCTTTTTGAAAGTTATAATTTAAAGCAAACCCTGAAACAAATTCAATAGTTAAATTTTAAGTATACTAAGAGATTATTATGTGTAAACCTGAAGCTGAAAAAAGCTATTCAGTGAAATGCCCAGACTAAAGAGAAACTCTATCTAGAGGTTAACATGATGTATTTTTCAAAAAAGAATAAATTAGCTTAAATGCATGGATTATAGAGAGGCTTTGTGAACCTAGTATTTCAAAAAAGACACAATTATTACTTGTAATAAGAAAAATCAAAAGTATTAATAATAAGAAACTGAATCACAAATTATCCTAGTCTCATATGAATATATCCCAAAATCACATGAGAGAATTATAGAAAAATTAAATTATGAAATCAAGCCCAACCACATTACAAAATGCTTTCCAGTTCCCAAATCTTATAGTGGAGTTTCTCACCTAATTCTTTCATGTAATCCTCGAAGTTTTCACTGGAGACCAGTTTCCAGGTTCCCAAGAAGGGCTCAACCATCCTGAATATCTTGCTGAGAAGTGGCACTCACAGCTAAAAACTGAAGAGAAATGGCTCCCTCAGAGTGTCACCGGAGGATGAATTTAAAGGACGTCTTCATCACGGGAGGCTTGAGATGTGGCTAATGTGTAGCAGCAAGACTAGGATGCTGGGCACCAGCATTTGACTCATTTTATTTACCTCCAAATTAAGAGACAGAAAATTGACATGTCAAGTTTAATTCAGGTCAATGATTATAGTGTCTCATGATGAGATTTACACCCGAGTCACCTGGTAAGTGTTGTGTGCAATGGAGATGGTTTTCAATAGAACCATAAATGCTGAGTTACCCTGAAGAAACAACCTGATGAATGTCTGACCAGGATGTTTTCCCAACCACGCAAGGATATCCTTGCTTGGTCCACCTCAGCTATTTTTTTGTTTGGCCAAGTCATGGTACCAGACCATTCTCTTCATTAAAATAATATCTTCCCTTCCCTTCCTTTCAGGGTTGATGTATTGATACTAATTAATGTCACTAAAATGCCTATGGTTGCTGGGAGCGATGTGTAGGATATAATTACTATTATCATTACTGTTAATTAAGGGTAATTGAGGACTGGAAAGAAAGGTGACAATTATTATTCAGTAGTGATTCATGATTTAAACTTTAAAAGGAGGCATAGCCAGTGCCTGGAAAATTCATTTTTCAGGTTTACAGAATATTTCAATATTAAACAACACTCTGAAATTGTGGGAAGTTCTAGGCAGAAAAAAAATCATGTTTGACATCTGCATTCTAAAAGAAAAATGAAGTAAATAAATTGAATCTCTGTGTGGTTATTTCTGAAGCCATTTTCTGCATCACAACTAATGGAAATGGATTTCTCAAGTACCAGGCTTACTGAGAAGGATAGGATTGAAGTAAAGTGGATTTACACCCCAGTTTTAAGCTTGCTTTTAAGGTGCTGAAAAGATCCAGGGTCAGGGACCGAGACAAGAAGATTCATACATTTTTTACTGACATTGTGTCAAATATTCCTTCAACTTAAAGAAATACCTATTCAAATCATCTCTTTATGGATAAAGCAAATAAGAGGTTACTGTCTTGACATCACAGAGTAATAAGTTAAATAAAGAATTACTTTTGAAGAAAACATATAAAGAAGGACTTTACAATTTTATGTCTCTATAGACTGAACAGTCACCAAGCTACCTGGAGGGCAAAATAAGGTAAGAGAAAAACTATGTCATGAAGTTATACTACCTTTAACTGACCGACCTATATTGGAGAATGTGGATCACAATATTTCAACCAGATGTCTTATGACAGAAATCAGCTGTCTGGAGAGCTATTTTCTGAGCACATCTAGAAAAAGCACTTATCTCTCACTGATCTCTGTATTACTAGCAATGCTTGGCACATCATAAGTGTTAAATAAATATTTTATAAATGACTAAGGAAAGAAATAAACAGTGTTTATTGTTCTCCTCATTAGTGTTCCTTATCTCCCTAACAGTCACTAAGTCAGGGTTTTATACAGTCTCCTCTCCTGGCCTGGTCCTACTGCAGGCCTTTCATTCTGGGTATTAACCCAGATTGAGAATCCTACTCCGTGTTTTTGTGAAGAAAACAAGTTCTTATTTCTCCACCTTTCTGGCCTTTATATAATAATGTTATACATAGACTAGACACTCAGGGCTGGGCAGAGTAAAGTATGTTTGTAATCCAGGCACTCTAGGAGACTGAGGCAGGAGGGGATCACAGGTTCAAACTCAGCATGGGCAACTTAGTAAAACTGTGCCTCAAAATGAAGTGTAGCAGGGATGTAGCTCAGTAAAAAGACCTGGATTCAACCCTAGTACCACCCCCACACACACACACACACTCAAGCAGAGTACTCAGGAAATGAACAGCTCTGGACTGATATTATTTTTTAGAATATTCTAAATTTGCTTATTTTTATTGGTACACGATTACAGCACATTACTATTATATTCCTCATAAGGATTTGGTACATGTATGTAGCACATCTTAATTCTTTTTTCATCCTCTTCCCACCTCCCTTCTTCCTTTCTTTATCTCTTGATCCCCTTCCCTCTTGAGAAAGATCTATCTCCCTATTTCCTGTTATCTATCTTTTATTTTTCTCTACTTGTATTTTGGGTTTTTTTGTGTAAGAGAGACCATGCAATATTTAAGTTCGTGTGTCTGATTTATTTCACTTAACATATGGTCTTAAAGTGCATCCGTTTTCCTACAAACTACTCAGCTTTATAACTTTTTATGCCAGAGTAGTATTCCATCATGTGTAAATACCACATTTTCTTTATTCATTCATCTGCTGATGGACATGGGCCACTTCCAAGATTTAGCTGTTATGAGTTGTGCTGCTATAAATGTGAGTGTGCATGGATCACTATAATATGGTGTCCTTAACTTTTTTTAAAGGTTTTCATTTTATTTTTAAAGACAAAACCAGAAACAGAATATCAACTACAGCACACACTTTATTTTTGAATTCTTAGTTAATATGTATTAATTGTAGCTATTAATGAGGTTCTGTATGATATTTCAGTACCTGCACAGCCATGCACTGATGAAATCCAGTCTTTTTTTTAATCCCTCCTCCACCTGCCCAGCTTCTACAAATCACTATTTTGCATTCAGGTAGAATGACCTTGCCTTTTCTCAGATTTCCACATATGAGAAAGAACAGGCAGTCCTTGTCTCTCTGTGTTTGGCTTATTTCACTTAACCTAATGTCTTCCTGCAGTCTACATTGTAACAGAGCTTTGTCTTACTAGGAAATCTAAACATATGATTGTGAAATTTTAATCTATGTATGCAAAACCATACTAATATAAAGAGGAGCTTCCTGACTTTCACAAGAGGCAGGAAAAACATACATATATGCACACACACTACCCACGAAGCCTCATTATCACTTTTGTAGTTTTCTTATACTGAGATTCCAAGGAGATTTTATCTGAATGAAAAGTTCTGCTAGTAAAAAAATAAAATAAAAGTTTGTTTTCATTAAGTTTATTGGTACATTTTAGATATACAGTATGATGACATTCTTCATTGGGAATTTGTGCCTTTACATGATGTATCTTAGTTCTTATTTTTCCCCCATTCTCCTGCCCTCCCTTCAACCCCTCCACCTCCCCCTATTTACAAATACTTTGTTTCCATTTTTCCTTTTCTCTTATATTTTCCTTTCCCCTACTACTCCCACTTTCTCTTCCCCTTCAGACCTTTTCTTCCTGTTTGGTTTTTTTTGAGACAGGGTCTCTTTTTGTGCTTCAGCCTGGCCTTGAATTTATGTAGCTCATGAACTCATATCAATCCTCCTGCCTCAACCTGTCAAATATTAGGATTACAGGTATGCCCCACCACACCTGGCAAGAAAAATAAAAATTTTCTAACTACTACTATAATAACAGTTGAGTCCTTACTTTATTCATGAACAAATCTGTCACTACTTTCCTGGAACAAATATTATGGAATTATTTGCCCTGAATTCTGCAGAGATTGTGGGGACAAGCTTGCACTATATGTGGTAGTGATTTATGCCCCAGTGGTTCATATACTGGAGGTTTGGTCCTCCGTGTGCCTGTGTTAAGGTGCAACAATCTTTCAGTGGAGACCATTGGCAGGTAACTATCTCAGTGGGAGACACTGCCCACAGAAGGGATTAGTGGGGCCCTAGTTAGATGCCATAAATGAATAAGGTGTCCTTCTCCTGCTCTCTGGCTTCTGGTCTCTGTATGTGATCTTTCCCTCTGGCACACACTCGCCTCCACGAGGTTCTCACTAGAGATCAAATCTATAGGGTTGCTTAATCTTGGGCTTTCAACCTCTAAAACTGTGAACTATAAAACTGCAAAAATATTTTTTTCTTTTTAAAGTATTTAATCTTAGGTATTTTGTTATATCAATAGAAAACTAACACTCCTGGTTTACCATTAATTTGGGGGTTAAAATTTATATAGAGATTTTTTTTCTACAACATGTATTGTATGTACTGATCTCTTGGAATGTTCTCACACAGGAAGGTGCAACATGTGTGCATTTGGACTAGAAGATTGAGATTGTGGACAATTTCCCTATGTTTAAAACTGCTTTACTCCCTGTGAGATAGTTTGTTGGTCATAGATATGTGAAAGAGGGATTAAATGTTCAGTCATGACACATACTAATCTCCTACCTAGGGTAACAAGAAAATCCGCAGATACTAACTTTTTTTACCTTGCATTATTATGAGATATCTTGTTATTTTGTATAAAAAGCAGAGCAAAAATGCAGATTTTTCTATTTCTTTCACTCACTTATGAATATAAAACTATCCTACACAATATGTAATCACACCACCTCCTAAATCTAAAAAGTTTTATTTAACCAACACAACCATATTCAATAAAATCCAAGTTGGGGGACAATTGCCTGCTAATCAGGGGAAAACAATCATTATCTTTTTGAATAATACATCCAACAAAATGTTGTAGAGTTTGATGCAAACTTGAGTCCAGGTCTGTGTCCTTTGCCTTTATGCTTTCTCATAAATCCTGGTGGCAGTGACATTGTTCATGACACAGTCCTAGACGCACAGGCCCAAAATAAACAAGAGAGAATTGTTGGTCATCATGGTACTACACAATGGGTTAAATCATATTTCTCAGTTTCGGAAATAAAATGATATTTATTTTGTTTTAGAATATATAAATATATATGGAGAGAGAGAGAGAGAGAGATACAAAGAGATACAAAGACCAAATACAGGTCTTCCTGCGTAAGGGAGCCTTATAACTTATCAAGCAGAAACATACAGCACATTGGGCTCTGAGGGAAGGCAAGGAATGCCTAGGCTGGGAGCCAGCAGGTCTGGGTTGAGTTCTAAAGCACAAAAGCAGCACAGAGGGTAGCTCTGTGATAGAATGCATGCTTAGCAAGTGAGATACCCTGGGTGCAATCCCCAACACCAAACAGCAAAGAGCCCAGAAACAAACACAAAAAACAAACCATGAACAGCAATCGTCAGAGTAGAAGCATAGTCGCAGCAAAAGTTACCCTTTTGCTCTACATAAGAAAGGTATTATTTTCCTATAGAAGAACTAAGTAGTGTACCCTACTTAGTTAGCTACAGTAGAACAATATTCTGAAGCAAAATAAGGAGCTTCAGATAACCTAATGGTAACATCTGAAAAATACTTACCAGAACCAACTTATCACCCTCTCGCCTTCTTGTGATGGTGGATGATTTTCCATCCCATTTCTGTACATGTACCAGGGCACCCCCCTCTAGGGTTATGATGCTCTGTGGGCACAATAAAAAGTGATTATAATTTGTATATGAAGGCCGAAAACAAAATTTAAAATGCAACACCTTGATTCAAAGGAGTACTCTGAGATCATTAGCTATTCTAAATCATAAGAATACATTGCAGCAAACAAGTGAGTCTAGAAAACAACAGCATACAACATATATATTATGGATAGAATATGCAAGAATACTGTGGTAAATACAGATTGTAAATTTACAATGAGATCATAATATTATAGATGATTTTTCTCACACTCATAAATTTTCTCTGACATTGTTTTATTACTTCACTGCAAATATTGTATGTACTGTATGACACGTAAATTATGTTAATCAATTTCAAAACTATAGGGACAATTTAATAAAAAAGGGGGAACTTGACTACATATTAGAGGCAATGGGATTTAGGTGTAGGCATTCCGGGTCTCTGGCCTATGACAGAAGTTTTTCCCCTGTTGCTATCAGCCTGTTATTATGAAGTAGTTTCTTATAGGCAGTAGGAATTTAATAAACAGATGTTCACTTTGCATTGATTTCTTATTCTTTACCTTGACTTTCCTATCATCTGCGGTGACTTCATCAAACTCCTGGCCCAGTTTAAAGGACATCTCAGTATTTTTAAAGGTACTTTCTGTTCTAATGGTGAGCATATCTCCGTCGATACTGATGATCATGTAGGGTTTGGCCATGCCAGCCACTTTCCTAGTGGCAAAGCCCACTCCTAGAGTTAGAAAAAGGAAAAAAAAGTCAGGTTTACATTTTCTCTCACATCTTTATGAAAGTCAGAGAAATGTGTTTGCCCATACATCTGTGAGCATGTGTGGTAAGAGGAGAAAGATACCAGTAACTTTCTTCAGACCTTATTTGAGCACTTCTATGGATAAGTACATCATTAAAACATTTAAGAGAAACTTGAAAACTTGATATGTAATATGTATCATATAGGTTTAGTCTTTAAACGTCCCCTTTTCTAGTCCTGAATATAATTCCTCAGGAGACCATTGCTAATTTTCAGTAAAAATACACGCAGAGATTGTCTTCAATTCATAGATATTTTTCCACTATCATTTTTCTCTATAAACCACTTGAGGCAAACTTGACCATTTTATTTCTTCTTAGATATTAAAATGATATTTAAAAATTTATAGTTAGAAGCAGAATTTCAGAGCTAATATAGTTACTCGGTTAAAAGATTATATATTTTAGGTGTATAAAAGTCACATTTCATAAGTTACTGCCAAGTGTATGTTTCTGAGCTTCTTTCCCAAATTATTGCACCATGAAATAAAGATTTTGATCTCTCCCAAAAGGACAAAATGTTTTCTATATTTATACCATATTACAATAAGGATAGCATTCCCAGTAAATTAGAGAAAATATTAATGAAGAATGAGATATCAATTGTGAAAACTTCAAAATTTAATAAATCAATATGTCTTTCTTTAGTTTGGAAACCGATATTTTGATTCCCAGTCATCTAAATTGCAAATTCCTGTTGTCTTAAAAGAGCAATATATGTTCCAGTGTAAGGCATGGGAGGAACAACTTCCAACCACACACAAGCAGTGGAAACTTGTTCCTACATATGTTATACAGAATTTATGATCATCATCATAGACATACTGCATTTTGTTGATACATCTAGGCTATTTGACTGAAGGCTAAAGGTTAAAAATAAGAGAAAAGCTGAGAGAAAAATTTCAAACAAAGCAATGTTGCAACTCTGATTTAGCTTTCTGCTTGAAAAGTGGCCACAGTGGGAAGATAATACACTGTTTGCTATAGTCCAAGCTGTTAGAAAATACAACAGTGAATAGCTACAGCAGAACAGTAAAGACAATGGAGAAAACATAAAGTGTGATTCCAGAATGGCTGAGCTTAGAAAAAAAAAGCATACTCTCTGCTTGCTGAATTGACTGCCTGCTAATTCTTCCTTAGGGCAGCCAGTTACATTAAGGAGGTATCATACTGTCTTTAATTATTAGTCTCTGTTAACCAAATCTTTGCCTTTCTCTAGCAATGTGTATTCATTGGTGTTATGGTATCACAACTAGTTGATATTCTCAAAATTTATGTCTTTCTTGTGCTGAAATTCCTGATTTCTTCTCCCACTATAGACAAGGAAACAATAGTTACAGATAAATAAAAAACATATCCTGTGTATTGAGAAGATTAAATCTTTTGAAATTTAGGAGATTCAATCCTAAATTCTAACAAAAATAATTGTGTAAAATTTCTCCCCAGTTTGCTAAACTTGGATCTGACTTTGTCCTGTATGAGGGTTGAGAGGGAAAGGGCTTTCTTTCAAAGTAGAAGCCAGATGAGAAATTGCCTCTTAACTCCATTGCTTTGGTGACATAATTACTTTTCATTCACATAATGACACACTGACAATGTTGACAGAGTCTAAAAAATTGCAAGCCTGTACCATAGGAAAAGGTAATAAGCCGTATGTCACATTCTCCTTATGTATGTTACATATTTAACATTACTCAATACTTCTATAGTATCTTGTGTCATTTTTAGTCGAAGTATTTGAGCTCCTTACAGAATATATTTTCTGAAATTAACATTTTTGTTTGCCACAGAACAACCACACATTTTAATAGATTGGTATTGACAAAGAAAAAAAGATCTGTTAAAATGCATTTCCAAAAACAAAAAGGCCAAGATGAGAATTAGAGTACCTTCAGTTTTTGCATGCTACAAATAAATATGCTTTCTTTTCCAAGTTAGTGTGTATCTTGTATGTGAAAAGGGATGAAAAGGAAACAAGATGAAAGAGCCAAGTAAACCAATTAAAATAACATCTTGCAATTAAAGTAAAATTTTGTCATTATATAGATAAAAACATTTCATTTAGGCCAATTTTAATACTGGCTCATCTTTAGGAAACATTAATTGTAACTTTTGCTCAAAATATTTCCATGAATAGATTCTTACCTGCTGCTTCTGCAGCCTCTGTATAGAAAACGACATTGTCATTTCTGGCCAATGCATCCAGGGTAAAAATCCAGCTATAAGCCTGTTCCTCCCAGAGAAAAATATACAAACCCATTCCCCCCCAGAATGCATTTTCTTACCCACTTCTTTCATGTAATCATCAAAGTTTTCACTGGAGGCGAGTTTCCAGGTGCCTAAAAAAGCCTCACACATTCTGTGAGCTTTCTAGGATTATTCTTTCAGGTGAGAAAGAGGATGCAGGTTTCAGGCAGGTGCTGTAACCCTCTGGGTCTGGATAACTCTTCTTTTTAAAGACACACAGAACATGTGACTTCAGTAGTAACCAATTGAGAAAGATATCAGATCATTTCCTTTACTAGCAGCCTCTGTATTTGTTCTTCTGTCATGTTTTTAATAGAAATTTCTCAACTTTGGTTCTCCCTGGCAAATGGTCATTGGACTTGGAGTACAAATTATTTTTAACCACAAACAAAATATTTTAAATATTCCCAATTTGACTGTTTAATGCTCAGTGGCTTGAACTTCCTTCTATTTTCTCAAATATGTATCCATTGTAAAGAGGGGAAATTATTTTAAAATGAGTTTTGACCCTTATTGCCTAAGCATTTGTTTTATTACTATTGCAATTATGTAGTTCATTTGAATTGAAGAACATAAGAACTTGGAGATCCTTAAATAATTGCAAAGAATTCTTAAATAATTGTCCTTCTGGGCCAATATTGTCTCATGAATTACCTGGCATTAAAACAAAATGCATAATGCATAAACCTTTTGGAGTAAATAAGAGCATTTTGTCTGACCATTTTTAAATTGAAGAGGAAACATACCCCTCTCTGGATAATAAGGAACAGAGACAAACTCATAATTGATTTTCACTGCACGTTTGTAGTAGGATAGGTAAGCGTTCATGCCCAGGCTCCTTTGTCATTTGAAACAAAGCTCACTTATTAAAGCATTCTTATTACCTATGTTTTTAACTTTTTAAAAATCTTAACAAGGAATTTATGCACATTTGGACTGTCTCTCCCCATGAATTGGTGAGAACATTTAATGTGGATATTGTCTTACATTTTTTATCCCAGGTTTAAGAGGCAAAGTCAAAGGTAGCCCTGTGTAAATTTGAGTCATTCATTGTACATATTCACAGTGACTGATAATGAGCATGGGAGACTCTCGACTCTTGACCTTCAAAATGGTGACAGTTTTGAGCAGAGTGGGGAACGTACAGCAGGGAGGTGGCTAAGTACAAATTTGCAGCCAGTTGTGTGACTTCTTCACTTGCCCTCTCACTCATAAAAGAGATTCTTCACACACAATACACTGGGTGTAAGTGGGATGGATCACTGAAGAGCTGGCAGGGCACTTTCTGAACATAAACTGTAACCTATTTTGCCTTATTTCATGAGGTAAACAAAATTACGAACTGCCTGTAGGCAAAAGAGGAAAAATCAACTAGGAAATCCAAAGGAATGCATAGACCAAGCAGTTGCGATATCACATGTTGCTAAGTAAATATTGAAAGCAGGGATACACAGATGCACACACACACACACACACACACACACATACGCACGCGCACACGTACATTTGCTCTCTTCACTGATTCATGTAGTATTAAGTTATTTGTCTCCTAATCTTTCCTGGCTACGAGCTCTTTGGAGGTTGGCCTGTGTCACTCATCGAACACACACACACACACACACACGCGCGCACACGTACATTTGCTCTCTTCACTGATTCATGTAGTATTAAGTTATTTGTCTCCTAATCTTTCCTGGCTACGAGCTCTTTGGAGGTTGGCCTGTGTCACTCATCGTTGTGTTTCTCAATCGTAGTATTATGTGTGACTCATGGTAGTTCTTAGTTCTTCACTGAATTGGGAGCAAAATCAGATTTAAGTTAAATTATACTAAGATATAAATGGTGGGCAACACCATAACATTACTAGAAGTATTTGCATTGAGAAGAAAGATGCTGACTGACTCTCAAAATTGTGTGACAGAACAAAGGAAATATTTCTGGTGTGGGGCTGTAGAACCAATATGATCCCTTGAAGCTGTACTAGTATGAAAACTGCTGCTTGTGTTTGTAAGATTGTGCTTTCAATCCACAAAGAACAAAGGCACCCTATTTCTGCTAAACTTCTCTTCATAACATCACCTTTAATAATTTCAGCCTGCTTACATTTTATATGCTTTTAAAAATTGTACATATATCACATAATTTGTTGTACAAAAAGAGCTAAATCCCAAGAAGGTATTCAGCCATATACTCATTAAATGTCTAGTAAATGCCAGTCATTGTGATTATGTTTGGGTACAAGTATGAATAAAAGAAGTGGGAGAAGATACATGAGGATTGATATGGTGTCCTTAAAAATTGTAAGTAAAGAACCATGAGCTAAGGATTTGGCTCAGTGATAAAATGCTTGCCCGGAATGCATGAGGCTCTGAATTCAATCCTACAGAAACAGAGAATAAAGCCACAGAGTGCTGTGGGACTAAGGTGCTCACATAGCTTTGCTCAGAGAGGGATTAGCAAAGATCTCCCAAAACTGACATCCAAAATAAGGTGAAGGTTGTCCTAGAATGCTGTACAAAGTGAGGTGGGAGAGGTACCACTGCACCAGAGGGAACAGCTCATGGGGATGCCTGGAAGGAAACTAGAGACAATCAGTAGTGGCAAAGCTACAACTAATATCCAGCTTTTCTAAGTCTGTTATTCTCTCCATTAGTCTGTGCTCCTACTTCCAGAAATCCTAGAGCCCTCAAATCAATAAGCAAAGTAGATTTTAATCACAAGCTTTGTAAAGGTTTAACATGGAAGTGGATTTAAGGAATATGAGATTTCAGTTCAATTCTCCCCCAGAGCCATGATCCTCTACGATCCGACGACACCCTGACCATCATTGACTATTATTGTTTCTGACTCCAGCTTATGAGCTTCTTGGTAGATGAACTGTGCTCCCAGAGTGTTCCTGGCCAACAGTAGGCACAGTTTCTGGTCTACAACAGACATTTAAAGAAATGTTGGAGTGGCTCATGGTGGCACATGCCTGGAATCCCGACACATTGGGAATCCAAAGCAGGGATTGAAGGCTAGAGCCCACTCTCGGCAACTTAGTGACTTAGCAGGATCCCTTCTCAAAATTAAAAATAAATAAAGGGCTACTGGGAATGTAGCTCAGTGTGAAAGCTCTGGGTTCAAGTTCCAGTACTGCAAAAAGAGGAAGAAGAAGGAAGGAGGAGGAGGAGAAAAGGAGAAGGGGGGGCAGGAGAAGGAGAAGCAGCAGCAGGAGGAGGAGGAGAAAGAGGAGAAGAGGAAGGGAAGGGAGAGAGGAGGAGTAGAAAGAGGAAGGTGGGGAGGAGAGAAAGTAAAAATGTCTGAGAGTGAGGAAAATGGAGGTGGTTAGGGAAGAAAAAAGAAAAAAGAGGAGGAGGGAAAAAGGAGGTAACACACACTTAGGGTAAACACAGGTACCTGAAGTTGCAGAAAATATGAGACGCTTGCGCTCAAATGAAAGCACCAGATGGTGGCAGATGCCCCAGTAGGCACTAACTGTGATTTGATGCTGCCAAGCAAAAGAACAGGAACAGTTCCTCTAGGAACAACTTTGATTACAAGAAAACACTGAACATTCTTTCTGGGAGGCACTTTTGCTGTGACATTTCCACCAGTGAACTATGATCCAGTAAGAAAGCACAAATGTCAGGCATCTGTGAACTATATTTGCTATCAGGGTGTTAACTTCCCTCCTGACAACAATCCTCTCTCACTGGGTGAAATGTGCATTTCTGCACTTATCATGTGGCTTGCCAATATTCTCTATGTCTGCGTATTACTTCTCCAGCTACAAGATCATTGATGGTGAATCTGTGCTCTGAAGATGGCTTTATAACTTTGTCATTACATTAAAATCTTTATTCGGTGTAGGTTAACAGACACTTTTATGGTTTGTTTTATATGTCATTTATACACTAGATCAGCTCTGGAGTTTAACACTTTGAAATTCTATTTCTACTATTCACTAGCTTACAACCTTGGCCAACCTCTTTAGTTTCTATGACATTTGTCTTTCTCAACTGTAAAGCTGGAAAACTTTATACTTTATACTATACTTTATAGTTATTGTTCAAATTAGTGATACTGAATGTCAAGTATTTTATATATTGCTTAGCATATACTTCACTCAACATGTGGCAGCTACTAATATTATACGTATAATCGTAATAATATAATCCCAAAAGAAAAATAACATATTTGAGAATGTGAGTTGTGGGCTGAGAAGAATTGGAACATTTTCCCTAATGGAGAATAGTCTTAATCAGGGTGATCTTTGGCTTTACAACTCTCAAAAGGCCAAGGTTTTGTTCAGCAATTATTCTAGAGTAAAAGTGTATTCTTGAGACTAATTTCAGATGTAGAAATTCATGACATCCAAGGTGAATTTTCTTGATATCCATGATTCAGAAAAAGAATGTTTTACCGAGGATTCAGCTCAGTGGTTCTGCCACCTGCCTGGCAAGCACAAGGACCTGAGTTCAATCCCTGGTACCAAAAAAAAAAAAAAAAGAAAAAGAGTATTTTTTCTCAGGAGACAAGAGCATGTCAATATTCTCTTCCTCTCATGGTGGAAAATTTTCTACCCCAAATAGGAATATTTTTAATGTTTAAAATTTAATAATGCTTGATATAGAAATTCAAGCTACATGGATATACAAAACAGCTATTCTACTTTCCACTGAATTTTAACTTTTAATAATTTCATTAATAACCTTTCACTCTTTTCTTATGAAAACCTACATATAGCATATAAAAATTAATTTTATTGAAGGCATCAGATAATATGTCATAACTGTATATAATGCTCTTCCACTCTTTTATCTTTAAATAATAATATACCATGGTCATCTTGTTATATCAGTGAATATATTTCATTTTTCTGAAATTGCTACCATTTTGTTTATATATTTCTAGATAATAAATGCCTATAGGTAGAATTCATGTGCTAATTTTTGTTATATACATTTAAATATCGTACATTACTGAAATGCCATCCAAAGTAATTATCTTCTTTAAACTTCCACCAATAGTGAATAAGATAATCTATTTCTTCAGTTGAACTGACTTGAAATTAGACTTGTTTTCAGTGGTATCTATCAAATGAAATAGTCACATGGGAAGAAAGTAAGTGCTGATGAACACACATAAGCACACAGACACACACACACACACACACACACACACACACTTTGACCAAAAAACTGAAATTCTAG